AAACAAACAAACAAACACACACACACACAGATAAACACACACGCACACACACACATACACAAACACACAACACATACACAACACACATACACAATCACAAACAACAATAAAATACAAACACAAATACACACCCACATACACAATCAAAAAAAAACACAAACACACACACAAACGCAAACACACACGTGCGCACACACACACGTACACCCACGGCATTCACACACCACTTAGCTCACATGCACAAATTCACTGGAGTATGTGCGTACCAGAGGGCAGCTGAAAACAGTAATTCGAGAGCTGGAAATGCATCAAGCAAGAACCGTGAGATGTATATTCAAAATATGCAAATTTTGTTTGCATCGCTAAGCAGGGCGGACCGGCGCTCGCTTGACCGTGTTGCAGCCGCTGCAGGAGAGCACCGCGGACGGGAACCGCTCCATAATCTGTGCGTTAGTCGCCCCTACAACGCGGGATCAAAGGTTCCGTGCAAGGCGGAGCTAATGGGTCAGAGGAGCAGGTAATGGTTCGGAAAAGGGGGCGGAGTGCGGTGGAATAACGCGATATCATGAGGCCAACAGAGCATACATTAGAACAGAGAAAGAGTGATAAAAAGAGGGAATTGGCGAGAAAGGGGGAGCGAGGAGAGGGCATTAAGGAAAGAAGGTTGGAGAGAGAGAGAAACGGTAATAATAGTGGAATGAATGATTTTATTTCCAGCGGAAATGTATGTATATATATGCAGCTGGATCTAAAGAGAGAGAGAAAAAATACATAAAATATAGCAGTACAGTAACAAAATGCTAAATGGTAAATTAAACACATGAATATGGAGATGGGCAAAGCATATCTCATAATACCGAAAATACATAATACCGTAAATTAAAATTCTTTGGAGAGAGAGAGAGAGAGAGAGAGAGAGAGAGAGAGAGAGAGAGAGAGAGAGAGAGAGAGAGAGAGAGAGAGAGAAAGGGAGAGAGAGAGAGAGAGAGAGAGAGAGAGAGAGAGAGAGAGAGAGAGAGAGAGAGAGAGAGAGAGAGAGAGGAGAGAGAGAGAAGAGAGAGAGAGAGGAGAGAATATATATATATAAAGTAAAAAAAAAAAATGTCAAAAGTAATTCAAAACTCATACATATACACAAGATAATTCAACTACCGATAACACCCAGCAGTTCTATATACAGTACGCCCTTATCCCACACCACCAAATACACAGCGTCGACATACGCCCATGTACCATTTCAAAGAATACAGGTTGAGGAACAAAGAACGAAAAAGACTAAATAAATACAATAAACATAAATAACAGCGTCAACAACACCCCTTAGCCATTTCAAAGAATACAGATACAGGCACAAGGATCAAAAAAAAAAAAAAAACAAAAAAACAAAACCAAACAATACAATAAAAATCAAATCAGGATACGCTATGGACTCCAAGGATAAAATACGTAGCTACTTTTCGACCTCAAGTGTTTACCGAGCACTTATCAATGCAAATAAGTAGTTTAAAAGACGCCGCTCGGTACACAACGCTAACTGTACCATGACTTGGCACCACCCACCTCTCATCTCCGCCAGGGACCTCTCTTGGGGCGGAACAGAAGGAAGGAAATCAGCGGAAAAGAAAAATGCAAATGAGTGTAAATTAAAAGAGATGAACAGAAAATCAGAAAAGATGAAAAAAATATAGGTATATAGTCGAGGTAAAAAAAAAATCAGTGATATGAAAGAATGGTTATTAGAATATTGCAGTGAGGGAGAGAGAGAGAGAGAGAGAGAGAGAGAGAGAGAGAGAGAGAGAGAGAGAGAGAGAGAGAGAGAGAGAGAGAGAGAGAGAGAGAGAGAGAGAGAGAGAGAGAGAGCAAAAAGAGACAGAGAGACAGACACAAAGAAATAAAGACAGAGACAATGGAAGCGAGAGAAGAAGACACAGGCAGACAGACAGACAGAGAAAGCAGAAAAGCTTTAAAAAATAAATAATTTAATCATCCTTACCGTCATTTCTCCAATTTCCCTCAGCCCAGTCCAAACAACAAACAAACAACAACAACAACAACACAGCAACAACACACAAAATCCAACCTGTAAGAGCCATGTTTGTAAATCCGAGGAAATAGAGACGAGAAAAAAAAGTAAATGAGTAAATATAAAAGAATAAAGAGATACCGATGTGAGCCACGGTGAGAACGCACGTCGACCTTTAATCTAAATGAGAGGATGGAACGAGAAGAAGGTAAAAAGAATAAAAAGAGAGAAGGGGGGGAGGGAGAGAGATGGTGGGTAGAGGAAAGAAGAACATGAGTCGAGAGAGGATATAGGAGAGAGAGGAGGGAGGAAAAAACGAGAAGAGAGAGGGAAAGAGAGGGAAAGAAGAAGAAGGGAAAAAGGGAGAGGAGAGAGAGGTAGAGGCGAGAGAGAGAGAGGGGGAAAAGGAGAGGGAAGAGAGAGAGAGAGGAGAGAGAGAGGAGAGAGAGAGAGGGAGGGAGATCAGGAGAGAGAGAGAGAGAGAGATGAGAGAGAGAGAGAGAGAGAGAGAGAGAGAGAGAGAGAGAAGAGAGAGAGAGAGAGAAGAAGAGAAGAGAAGAGAGAGAGAGAGAGAGAGAGAGAGAGAGAGAGAGAGAGAGAGAGAGAGAAGAGAGAGAGAGGGAGTGTGGTGTGTGTGTGTGTGGTGTGTGTGTGTGTGTGTGTGTGTGTGTGGGTGTGTGTGTGGGTGGTGTGTGGTTGTGTGTGTGTGGTGTGTGTGTGTGTGTTGTGTGTGTGTGTTCTTGTGGTGTGGTGTGTGTGTTGTTGTGTGTGTGGGTCGTTGTGTTTCTGTTGTGTGTTTGGGTTGTGTGTGTGTTGGTTTGTTGTTTTCGTTGTGT